TCAATATGTGCATTACAAGAAAGTACAAACCTTACTCTCTCAATTACATGCGTGAACAAACCGTAAACACTTTTTGTTTTTTCTTTGGTATCACAATTAGATGTGATTATGTTTATAGGACAACAATATTTGTACAGTTGTGCATGTTGACAAAGTTAAGAGAAAAAATTGTACTCAACAAATCTTATCCGTCTCCCCTACATGATTCTGACAGGATCATCAAGAACCAAAATAAGCACTTAAACAGTATATACATGCATCATACATTTCCCTTTACAAATAGTGTTTTTCACAATATCTTACTTTTATTCTCAACTTAATTTCCAATCCCCTACGCATGATACACCAACCAACAAATATATGTAAAGTCTGGGCCTGTCCCAGTATCAAACTAAAAACATCCAGGAAATCCTCTGTTCCTACATTTACTTACACATTTACCTGTAAATCAATGGATGAGATTTCAGAAGTGGTTGAAAAGTAAGTAATAAAGCCAAGAAGATTTTGTGACGTTTCATAATAAACCAGTACTCTGAACGTGTGTAATGTTTGTGTGTTTCAGCAATTACATTGGACAAACACATTTTCTGTGTTTTTCATGAAGTAAAATTTAGCCCATTGCCATAGATTTTATAAATGGAAAACCAGGAAGTTTGCTTTTATAAACAAGATGTAACAAAACCTGTCCAACATAAAGATGATAAGGAGTGTCAAAATACAACTTCAATTCTTCTGATTGGCAAATACAATACACACAACCTATCACTATTCCTATGAACATGTTCCTTACACCCACTGCTGTGATTCAGACATAACATGTACAAACACCAGACATGGTAACTCAGTAACACTATATGTCGACACAATCCTTGTTGGTTCCTTACACCTACTGCTGTGATTCAGACATAACATGTACAAACACTAGACACAGTGACTCAGTAACACTAGATGTTGACACAATCCTAGTTGGTTCCTTACACCTACTGCTGTGATTCAGACATAACATGTACAAACACTAGACACAGTGACTCAGTAACACTAGATGTTGACACAATCCTAGTTGGTTCCTTACACCTACTGCTGTGATTCAGACATAACATGTACAAACACTAGACACAGTGACTCAGTAACACTAGATGTTGACACAATCCTAGTTGGTTCCTTACACCTACTGCTGTGATTCAGACATAACATGTACAAACACTAGACACAGTGACTCAGTAACACTAGATGTTGACACAATCCTAGTTGGTTCCTTACACCTACTGCTGTGATTCAGACATAACATGTACAAACACTAGACACAGTGACTCAGTAACACTAGATGTTGACACAATCCTAGTTGGTTCCTTACACCTACTGCTGTGATTCAGACATAACATGTACAAACACTAGACACAGTGACTCAGTAACACTAGATGTTGACACAATCCTAGTTGGTTCCTTACACCTACTGCTGTGATTCAGACATAACATGTACAAACACTAGACACAGTGACTCAGTAACACTAGATGTTGACACAATCCTAGTTGGTTCCTTACACCTACTGCTGTGATTCAGACATAACATGTACAAACACTAGACACAGTGACTCAGTAACACTAGATGTTGACACAATCCTAGTTGGTTCCTTACACCTACTGCTGTGATTCAGACATAACATGTACAAACACTAGACACAGTGACTCAGTAACACTAGATGTTGACACAATCCTAGTTGGTTCCTTACACCTACTGCTGTGATTCAGACATAACATGTACAAACACTAGACACAGTGACTCAGTAACACTAGATGTTGACACAATCCTAGTTGGTTCCTTACACCTACTGCTGTGATTCAGACATAACATGTACAAACACTAGACACAGTGACTCAGTAACACTAGATGTTGACACAATCCTAGTTGGTTCCTTACACCTACTGCTGTGATTCAGACATAACATGTACAAACACTAGACACAGTGACTCAGTAACACTAGATGTTGACACAATCCTAGTTGGTTCCTTACACCTACTGCTGTGATTCAGACATAACATGTACAAACACTAGACACAGTGACTCAGTAACACTAGATGTTGACACAATCCTAGTTGGTTCCTTACACCTACTGCTGTGATTCAGACATAACATGTACAAACACTAGACACAGTGACTCAGTAACACTAGATGTTGACACAATCCTAGTTGGTTCCTTACACCTACTGCTGTGATTCAGACATAACATGTACAAACACTAGACACAGTGACTCAGTAACACTAGATGTTGACACAATCCTAGTTGGTTCCTTACACCTACTGCTGTGATTCAGACATAACATGTACAAACACTAGACACAGTGACTCAGTAACACTAGATGTTGACACAATCCTAGTTGGTTCCTTACACCTACTGCTGTGATTCAGACATAACATGTACAAACACTAGACACAGTGACTCAGTAACACTAGATGTTGACACAATCCTAGTTGGTTCCTTACACCTACTGCTGTGATTCAGACATAACATGTACAAACACTAGACACAGTGACTCAGTAACACTAGATGTTGACACAATCCTAGTTGGTTCCTTACACCTACTGCTGTGATTCAGACATAACATGTACAAACACTAGACACAGTGACTCAGTAACACTAGATGTTGACACAATCCTAGTTGGTTCCTTACACCTACTGCTGTGATTCAGACATAACATGTACAAACACTAGACACAGTGACTCAGTAACACTAGATGTTGACACAATCCTAGTTGGTTCCTTACACCTACTGCTGTGATTCAGACATAACATGTACAAACACTAGACACAGTGACTCAGTAACACTAGATGTTGACACAATCCTAGTTGGTTCCTTACACCTACTGCTGTGATTCAGACATAACATGTACAAACACTAGACACAGTGACTCAGTAACACTAGATGTTGACACAATCCTAGTTGGTTCCTTACACCTACTGCTGTGATTCAGACATAACATGTACAAACACTAGACACAGTGACTCAGTAACACTAGATGTTGACACAATCCTAGTTGGTTCCTTACACCTACTGCTGTGATTCAGACATAACATGTACAAACACTAGACACAGTGACTCAGTAACACTAGATGTTGACACAATCCTAGTTGGTTCCTTACACCTACTGCTGTGATTCAGACATAACATGTACAAACACTAGACACAGTGACTCAGTAACACTAGATGTTGACACAATCCTAGTTGGTTCCTTACACCTACTGCTGTGATTCAGACATAACATGTACAAACACTAGACACAGTGACTCAGTAACACTAGATGTTGACACAATCCTAGTTGGTTCCTTACACCTACTGCTGTGATTCAGACATAACATGTACAAACACTAGACACAGTGACTCAGTAACACTATATGTTGACACAATCCTAGTTTGTTCCTTACACCTACTGCTGTGATTCTGACATTATGTTTCCCATATACCAACACAATGAATCTTTTGTCACAATCAAATATACCATAGTACAGATGTTATCAAAATAAAAATAAAACAGTACAGTAGAGAATGAAAAAATATTTTTCTGTGATTTAAGATTTCAAATGTAGTCTTTTAAAACAACAAACTTTAAAACATATTTTTATCAGTTCATACTAACATTATGTCATATTTTGTTTGTAACAATCCTAAAAAATATTAAAACGTAACAATATTATTTATTAATATGATTATTAACATTTTTTTAATGATGTCACACGGCGAGGCATGTCTGCTAAATTTGAAAATTGAGTAGCGCAGTTGTTGCAGAAAGCATGTCAACGTCCTGTTATTTGCTAATGCATGTACTGAGGAAACGAATGTGCTAGACTGAGCTAGTGAGAGTTTGTTTCTTAACAGCATTTTAGAATCCTTGCAAAGACGTCATGTAAATACCACCGTTTTATTTGTTCAATTATGTGCACATTGTTTGCTTAAATGTATAAAAGTGATTGTAAGCCTTTGTTTTTTGTTTACACAATTATAACCATTACTATTATCCATATGTTGTAAAGCGCCTTAGAGTAATTTTACAAATTGTATAGGGCGCTATATAAATGTTGAATATTATTATTATTATTATTATTATTGACTTGCGCAATTGAAGAAAAAAAATTCCATTGTGATTAATTGAATTCTACCTAGTAGTTATAGAGTATGGTAATTTTGATATAAATGATAATTGCTATGGTATCATGATGGAATTGTCATCACCCAAAAATTCCAAACATGAGTTAAATGTAACTTCTCTGTTGTTTGTTTACTTTTTGGTCACGTTCGTATTACTACTCATTTCTGTTCACTTGGTGCATATAGTGGCATTGCAGTACAAATTTAAATATATAGATATAGAGATTTTATACAGAAATTTCAATTACAGCTTGGGTACATTATGACTCACAAAACTATAAAACAATCAGATACTGGTACTGTAAAACCTCATATATTTTCATAGAACTTTTGATTTTATTCAGGATGTTGTTCTATAAGGCCCAATCCTCTCTGATCGTTTAATGGTGAAGAGACAAAATCAATATACTAAAATGATCCTGTAACAGACCAAAGTGTGATCCTGTAACAGACCAAAGTGTGATCCTGTAACAGACCAAAGTGAAGTCCTGTAACAGACCAAAGTGAAGTCCTGAGAACATGAGTTAGATTCTACAGTACCAGTAGATACCACAAACATGTTGGTTTGATTCTGCACAAGAATGCAGAATCACAAAGTCACATAACATTAAGTCAAAATAGAAACTTTCATCCATTTACACACATTTCATAAAATAACATAATAAAAACATTTCACTTGACAATAATAAACTAATAACAAAAACAGTTTTAAAAGTAAGTATCAAAACTATATGCCAAAAGTCAGCATATACCCAATAAAAACAATTCTGCATTCTTAACAATTATTCACATGTTATGTGTAATTAAATATGTATAAAAGTAAGTAAACAATTTCATATAAAACACAGACTTTGATATCATCGTTGAATTTTATTAAGATACCTAGGTAATACATTTTTTGGGATAAAGTGTTTCATATAAAAAACAAAGTTCTGGCATAGAGTGTACACGTATATACAACACCGAAGTACTGAGGGACCTCTTTATCCTTGGGGAGGTCACTGTCTATTCCAAAAAATGTTTGATGAGAAGTAAAATTTGCTACACTAACAATGTTATAAACATTCTGGTTTTGATCATCTGAAAAAAAACACTCCCTAGAATCCAGAGAAAATAGTTTAACCTGTGTATCTTAATCTATGGTTGAGTTTCACCACACAATACAGCATTGTGCTAGGAGTGGAGGGTGATGACCAGCTACGAGATTACTCGTCACACGTGTTGTACCAGTCCTCGCTTTCAAAGTATCACTTCGCCAAAAAATAACTTCTATCATTAACATATTCTATAAACCTTCCAATTACGTAAAAATCTGCCTTGGATATGATGTAAAGCTGTAGGAACCTCGTAAATATTCTCAGTGGAATCATGTCGTCATGAATCGTCTCATTTGTTTCCAAAAACAGTACTGTTGGCTGTTCCCAATCTTTATCGACAACACAAACTCAGGATTCAGGTCTACAGGGAAAACAGATTACAATTCATAATTTAAAAGAAAAATTAATATTTCAATTCCCACATTTAACCTATATGAAATGCAATTTACATCTGAACTTCTTTTTGGAATTATTTTTGGAATTATCATAAATAGCAATGAAGAATGATTTTATTTTGGTGGATGATTGCCAGCCCTGTTATGACCAAGTAAGTTTGATTTCTATTTTCAATTGTAGTAGAGGCCACTGTAGAAAAAAAACAGGAACTTCGAACACTGTATTGGGTACCTTAATCATTTTATGGAGTGTGAACCATACCAGGAATTTCCTACGTTTGGATACAAGATCAGTTAAATATAAACATCAAGTAAAAACTGCTGTGTATTAGTAAGTACTGTCAATTCACAGAAAGCAATAATCAGTTGTTTCCTTTACTGAATTCGATTTAAATGGAGATATTTATCAGGAAAAAAGGGTTTGACACAGGAAAAATAACCATCAAATGTCATCTTTCTACTACCAATATTAATACAACACACAACACCACAGGAACCCATCTATAACACTGAAAACCATATCAAACTGTATGGTATTTATCCTAAAATTATATTCCCCTTTAAATATTTCAAACATGGAACTCAAGTAATTAATTCTCCCAAATTGTCTTCATCTCATAAATACTTTAACATTATCAGGCATCATAAAAAACATATTTAATACCCATCTTAAAACGTGTCATATCACAAATAACAATTGTAAACCTTATTAGCAGATATGGTCATTTTTATAAAGGCATCTTAAAATTTAAATGTGATATTTACAGTCACTTTGTAGGATTTCCATATGAAATAATTTTAACAGAGAATTATATTAATTTTTGTTTCATGTTCATGGCTATTTTTCCACTCTTAGGAAGAATGTTAAACATTACCCACTAAAGTATATAGTGACACCTGTCTTATAAGATACTGTGGGACAACATATATTGGTCAGACTAGACAGGATAGCTTAATGCACAAGTTTTATTAGTTAGTTTTCATAAGAAATCATGTCAGTTTACACAGGATGTTGGAAACTTGGGGGTCAGATTAGACAGGTTTCACTATACATCTTGTGTTGGTAGTGACATTTAAATTTGCTTTTGTAGTAGTGTGATGATTTTATGGGCTACATACAATAGAAGGTATGAATAGCATTGAAGCCATCCGTGACCTTTACCCCATACAAACCCCTGTAGCATTGAAGCCATCCGTGACCTTTACCCCATACAAACCCCTGTGGCATTGAAGCCATTCGTGACCTTTACCCCATACAAACCCCTGTGGCATTGAAGCCAGCCATGACCTTTACCCCATACAAACCCCCATGACCTTTACCCCATACAAACCCCGGTGGCATTGAAGCCAGCCATGACCTTTACCCCATACAAACCCCTGTAGCATTGAAGCCAGCCATGACCTTTACCCCATACAAACCCCCATGACCTTTACCCCATACAAACCCCTGTAGCAAACAGTAGGTGTACAATGGAACCTTATTGGATCTAAACACTCCAGTGACTTTCTCACTGAGCAAATCAAATGTCTTGAACTAAAGAGCATAGGTTACCTGTCTATAGGATTCTGGACTGCCACTGATAATAAGGACGAGCAGTGTCTGTGCAGCCACAAATAGAGGAATTTATCAAAACAAAGAGAATATTCTAACACATGCAATAAAAAAATGAAAATGGGCATGGTGTGGTGAACGTTCCTGGTGATCACCATTAAGAGTTTAGGAGATCGAACAAGGTTCCAATGCACTGGATAACAGAGCCGGCAAATCTTCCACATTACTATATAGGTCTTTTAATGAAACTTTTAAGGTCCACCTAGCTATACAGCATCATTACTTATATTTACTCTATCTGAAGGCATGGATAGCAGGATAATCGTGATTCTACACCGCTCCTTATATCACTTCATATTAAACATCAGCTAGCAATATGGTCACTAAGGAAATAACTCCTACCTCTGTATAGGATTGAAGTACCATGACAAAAGCACTTTGTTTGATCACTTTCATATATCTGTATGTAGCCGTCTCTCAAAAAATACCTTCTTTCTCTTTATTGATATATACAACACAAGTAGGATTTTAAAATTACCTCTTAACATTTTAATAAGGTCTAAGAAATGGTTAGCAGTCAGACATGGAGAAAAGGGAATTATAAGTCAAAGGTAACGCATAAATAGAAATTCAGGATTTAAATGGTAAGTGTTCCGGTATAATCTTATACAGACAACAGGATCAGAATGAAATACTGCAATGTGACCAGAGTAAATTCATTAATACGATCTTGTACGCCACCACAAATATACCTATTTATCTTGATTAAGCTATCCTATCGTAGCTTCTTTATCCTTATCTTAACATAATCTACATAGGACAAAGTCACTTGTACTGATTTTGCCTAATCTGTTAACTACTTTATTTCCTCAGGCTTATAACTTAGCAAAGGAATACTGAATTCATTGGAATATGTAATCTGGCACAACTTCTGTCTGATGTGAAATCTCCTTCCTTGCTTAACTGCAAACTTGAGCTTTTCCTGGTGAGTTCTTTCCTGTATGTACTGAACTGCAAACTTTGATCCACGTTTGTGTGTCTTCTGATCGTCACTACACTGAACTATGGCCTTTCACATGGGAAACTACAGACTTGGTCTGTTTCACAACCTCTGTGTAGTAAGTTCTATAACACTTGTTAAGGGCGACCCACTGTGTAGGTTATACAACACTTTTAAATGAAGGTTCCTTGCAATGCACTGACAGATGTGATACTATCTTGAAGGGTCTGGGATCAGATGTGATACTATCTTGAAGGGTCTGTGATCAGTTGTGATACTACCTTGAAGGGTCTGGGATCAGTTGAAGTCTAACAAATGTTACTAGAGTCACTCCTTTAGTCAAAGCTGTGTTGAACAGAGGTGTGCCTATGCCAAGCATCTTTTGTTACTGGCTGTTGAAGAAATACTGAAGCCAACATTTGATGTCTACAAATATCAATGCTTCAAACAGCCGATCATCACCAACAACACAGTATACTCAGTCATGTCCACATCAATTTCATTGGGGTGGGGATCCTGATTGATGTGCCAATGTGTTATGGTGCAGACATATTTTCTTTCATGCCTTCTGATGGTTTTTTAAAGGAGAAACACTTTTGTTGATCACGACACTCTCAAGAAAGTTTATTCCAGCAAAATTATAAGTAATCACCATAAAATTGGAAAAGCTCAGACAAAATTCACATTGCTTGTAGCTTTGCAGGACATTTCATTAATCCTGTATATTGTGGCCTGCCAGAGCTTGTCTTTGTCAGTCATCACTTGTGGCTGATACTGAGTGTAGCTGATACTGGGTGTAGCTGATACTGAGTGTAGCGGGTCTTTGTCAGTCATCACTTGTAGCTGATACTGGGTGTAGCTGATACTGGGTGTAGCTGATACTGGGTGTAGCCGATACTGGGTGTAGCTGATACTGAGTGTAGCGGGTCTTTGTCAGTCATCACTTGTAGCTGATACTGGGTGTATCTCCAACTATTTGATACGAAAGTCTCATACATATGACCAAATCATGTACACACCAAATGTTTATTTACAGTAGACTGGTCTGTCACATTATAGTTGATTGTGTCACATGGGTTTCTTCTGGCGAATTGGATTTTCTTGCTTTTCACAAATTAAAATGTTCTCTATATGGAAAGTCTGATATTATATGTCGAGATTCTGAGAGACATCAGTCTGACAAAAGAATATCCACTTAAATCTACTTGCTTCACTACTGATATTTATTATGGTGCTTAAATTCTAGTGTTATTTATTACCTAAAGGACACCATAATCGACTCCTCTTCCTAAGCTATGTAAAATCTCTAATTGGTAACTAGTCTAAACAATATTTAATGAACCTTTAATTGTCATTTATATGTATAAGACTTAGTGATTTGTAGGAATAAAAGTAAAAACAGATTTAAAGAAAAAATCTCATCAATCAGCAAGATAACGCTTAGATCTATCTACATACTAAAATGAACATTTGAGAGAAGCGTTTTGCAACATAGTAAAGGGAAAAAAAAGATTTTCATTCCAAAAAGTTAACGTTGAAATATCAAGTATTAAAAATATAAATATGTAAGGTCATTTTGTTTCATTATAATTAGTTTTTACCATCGCAATTTTTTTTTTGAATCTGTTCAATGGCATTCTCATGATTACCTGAAGATTTCTGTACAGGGCATCACAGAGGAAGAGAGTTTTGTACAGGGCAACACAGAGGAAAAGATTTCTGTACAGGGCATCACAGAGGAAGAAATTTCTGTACAGGGCATCACAGAGGAAGAGATTTCTGTACAGGGCATCACAGAGGAAGATATTTCTGTACAGGGCACCACAGAGGAAGAGATTTCTGTACAGGGCATCACAGAGGAAGATATTTCTGTACAGGGCATTACAGAGGAAGAGATTTCTGTACAGGGCATCACAGAGGAAGAGATTTCTGTACAGGGCATCACAGAGGAAGAGGATGATATGAATCATTCAAATAATCATGATATTTTAAACAATTATCAAGTAACAAAACAAAAAAAAATCAATAATTTTAAGAAAAACTTTATATGAAGGAAAAAAGGTCCTTTAATGGAATTGTTTCAATATTTCCCACTTTTATACTTGATTTATCAATGTATCATAAGGTAACATTAAAAGTGAAGAACATTATTTCGTCACTAACCTCTGTACAAACTGTTTGTGTATGATCATCTAGCACACAACAATATATACAATTCATTTGGTCTTAACCCAATCAAAAATGTCAGGAAATCTAAATACTAAATCCTAAATTAACACTACCTCCTCATTAGTCCTGACAGATTAAGAATCCTCTAAACCTTCATAAACGCATTTTTAATTAGTTATTCCATTAAGAATGTTAAGTTGATCTTCTTTAAAAACATGATTAAATCTCTTCTTTTTGGGAGTGTCAAATTAGATCAATGTTGTGAGCAATAAGAAGTATGGATTTCAGACATCTCCCGAAGATCTCTCTGGATCTCGCAAGGATCTCTCTGGATCTCACAAGGATCTCTCCAGTAGGGTTACAGCATTTCTCAATTCTTTTATACTTTAGCATACCAAGAATTACAAAACAGCTGACCCACAGCAAGGCTTACATGACAGAACTTGTTCATGCCAAGTCGCGCCAGTCCTGAGCAGGAACGATCTGATGTTGCACTTTCATCTTCTGCAACATACACCTCAACTGGAGGGAAATATTTCAAAATAATTTCCCTTTCCAGAGACAATCCTTTGTTACAGAGTCGACATAATGCCAAGGAGAAGCTGCCATTTATCCAGTGGACTTGTTTCCCTCTGTTGACTTTCACCACTGCTTGTGAACATGTGTGGAGCTCCAATTCATCAAGTGACAATAAGAAAACAGGCTCAGATGGGAAGATGTGTCACATTTATGTGAGACAGATCCAGCATGTGTCTGTAATGCAACCAAAAAATAATTATCCATTATAGGAATATTGAATAAATTGTTAAAGAAATAACAAATTTATTAAAATCTCCTCAGGATTGTTCCCATTAAATGGCGAATGAATTGTACTTGTAAGATATATTGATCTGTAAGATTCAGCAGGAGATAAGCTGTAAATTATTAAAAATATTTCATATAAAATCCTCCACTTTGTTCCCCTATATATCAAGCATCATGTTGACCTTTTCCTTCAGGCAATCAATGCGTCGCTTTCAAAAATCTTTGTATTAAACTTGTATATGTACAAACATATAAGCATTACATGAAAAGTCAGCAGAACATCATGTCTTTCGTGTACACCACTGTAGTGTATTGTCAAGGAACACAGAAACTGATGGGATTTGGATAAAATAGTAGGCAATACATACTCACGACTAATAGAGTCTATCACCTCTGTTGACAGAGAAAATCTCAGAGGGTAAGATATTTAAGTTTAGAAGGAGTCTTTGCAATGAGATAAACTTTAAAACTCTTATCCCAAGGGTTGAGATTTCTCTTCTCTACAGGAGACATGATAAATTTCTGCTTTTTCTCCCATATTTTTCTACTGTGAGTATAAGTTGTAATGGTAAACCAGCAGCACCAGGCCATTATTAAGAGCTCATGAAATGTGTGACAAATTTGTGAATGTAAGCTTTGTAATGCTGCATGAAGTGATAAAGCGATGGTGATACTTGTACAATGTTAGCATTGTGTGAGCTAGGCAGATGAAGACGGCTTTATGTTATGCATAGAAAAACCAGGAATATACCTATAGATGAAGGTTTGGGGAAATTACGATGTCTACTAGAGGATACTTAAATCTATTAATTACCTGTTAAACTTCTTAGAGAACTGGGCTGCACTGTTAGCATCCTGAAACGTCACTGTGGCTTTCTTCTGACCTTTAAGCATCTGGACACTCTACAAAGGAAATAAAAAAAAACATATTAAGCTCAAAACATATTAAGCTCAAAACATATTAAGCTCAATTATTTTTGCAAAATTCTTCTCGGTCTACAATTCTATAGAAGTGAAACTAAAAGTCAGGATGTCTTTTCTGGGATCCTTTTTTCATAATTGCACATAAACAGTATTTCATAAACAGTATTCCATCAACAGAAAATTGGCCCCCCTGACTTTGAATAAGGTTGAAGGCCCCTGACTTTGAATAAGGTTGAAGGCCCCTGACTTTGAATAAGATTGAATGTCATTCATTTGAACAAAACTGGTAACACTTAATCCCTGCATGCTACTGGACAAATATCTTCATCCTGAGTTGTTTAATTAATCAGAGGAATTTGTTTAAAGAATTTTAAGACAAATGAACCCTGTGACCTTGAATATGGATGAAGGTGATTCATGTAAACAAAATCAGTGGCCCTTTATCCCTGTATACGTATGCTTCTGGCCAAATATCACCCTGGCCATTCTGGTTATTCAGAAGAAGTTGTTTAAATGTTTGTTTAGACAATATAACAAGAGGCCCAAGGGCCTTAGCGGTCACCTGAGTTATATCATAGGTACTGGTAGCTTTATTTTATTGTTTAGATGTGATGTGGAAATCAGCATGTAAACTAAGTGAAATACAATACTTGTCATGTCATCAATGGATAAGAATTTGAAAATATTGGTAAATGTTCCCTTTGGGGCCCCGCTCTAGCCCCTGGGGATGGGGCAGGAATCCTAATTTTACAAAGTAAAACTCTCATTTACCCAAGATGATTCTGACTAAGTTTGAGCAATTTTCTGCTGAAAATGGATAAAATATATACCGAAAAGTGTTATTTCCCTATATAAACTATATTAAACGTTAACCCCTCCCCAAGGGAGAACGGATAGCTCGGGGTCCTGATATTTTCAATTTAAATAAAGCCCCTGATGATCTTTCTTTCCACGTAAAGAAAATCACTGTAGTACCTCTGAGTCTGGAGAAGAAGATTTTTGAAATATTGATTAATTTTCCCTTTGGGGCCCCGCCCTGGCCCCAGGGGTCGGGGTAGGAATCTCAATTTTACAATTTGAAACCATCTACCTCCAAGGATAATTCTCACCAAGTAAAAATAATTTCCTACAGAAAGTTGTCAAAATATACCCAAAAGTGTTATTTCCCTATATAAACTATAGTAAACTTTACCCCCTCCCCAAGGGAGAACGGATAGCTCGGGGGTCCTGAAATTTACAATTTAAGTAAAGCCCCTGATGATCTTTCTTTCCACGTAGAGAAAATCACTGTAGTACCTCTGAGTCTGGAGAAGAAGATTTTTGAAATATTGATTAATTTTCCCTTTGGGGCCCCGCCCTGGCCCCAGGGGTCGGGGTAGGAATCTCAATTTTACAATTTGAAACCATCTACCTCCAAGGATAATTCTCACCAAGTAAAAATAATTTCCTACAGAAAGTTGTCAAAATATACCCAAAAGTGTTATTTCCCTATATAAACTATAGTAAACTTTACCCCCTCCCCAAGGGAGAACGGATAGCTCGGGGGTCCTGAAATTTACAATTTAAGTAAAGCCCCTGATGATCTTTCTTTCCACGTAGAGAAAATCACTGTAGTACCTCTGAGTCTGGAGAAGAAGATTTTTGAAATATTGATTAATTTTCCCTTTGGGGCCCCGCCCTGGCCCCAGGGGTCGGGGTAGGAATCTCAATTTTACAATTTGAAACCATCTACCTCCAAGGATAATTCTCACCAAGTAAAAATAATTTCCTACAGAAAGTTGTCAAAATATACCCAAAAGTGTTATTTCCCTATATAAACTATAGTAAACTTTACCCCCTCCCCAAGGGAGAACGGATAGCTCGGGGGTCCTGAAATTTACAATTTAAGTAAAGCCCCTGATGATCTTTCTTTCCACGTAGAGAAAATCACTGTAGTACCTCTGAGTCTGGAGAAGAAGATTTTTGAAATATTGATTAATTTTCCCTTTGGGGCCCCGCCCTGGCCCCAGGGGTCGGGGTAGGAATCTCAATTTTACAATTTGAAACCATCTACCTCCAAGGATAATTCTCACCAAGTAAAAATAATTTCCTACAGAAAGTTGTCAAAATATACCCAAAAGTGTTATTTCCCTATATAAACTATAGTAAACTTTACCCCCTCCCCAAGGGAGAACGGATAGCTCGGGGGTCCTGAAATTTACAATTTAAGTAAAGCCCCTGATGATCTTTCTTTCCACGTAGAGAAAATCACTGTAGTACCTCTGAGTCTGGAGAAGAAGATTTTTGAAATATTGGATAATTTTCCCTTTGGGGCCCCGCCCTGGCCCCAGGGGTTGGGGTAGGAATCCCAATTTTACAATTTTGAAGCCTCATCTACCAAGGATGATTCTGACCAAGTTTGAAAAAAATCCATCTACTGGTTCTTGAGAAGAAGTTGAAAATGTAAAAGTTTACGCACGACGCACGACGGACGACGGACGACGACTGACGGAAAGTGATTGGAATAGGTCACTTGAGCAAAGCTCAGGTGACCTAAAAAGATGCAAGCTTATTTTGAAACAACAATTTTACTGAATTTGCTGTCATGAGGTTAATCATTTATCCATCCAGTCTCTTGTAAATGAAAACAGATTTATCCCAGCAGACAGTCTCGGACATCAATCCTTCCTTTTCATGAAATATTCTAAGGTTGGGTTTTTTCGGCAAAAAATGTCCCTCAGTTGTAACTAGTACATACAATTATTCAAAAAGTAATTAAATCCTTTATCTATCCCTGTTACCTAGTTGACCTAGAGTTTCAGTTATTTTCACAAGACTCAATACAGGCAATAAGAAGGGAACATTCCTTATATATATAGGTTTGTACAATACTACTATGTCTTCAGCTGTTACAAAGTTAGACAGGACAATCCCTAAATATATAGGTTTGTACAATACTTCACTGTGTCTTCAGCTGTTACAAAGTTAGACATAACAATCCCTATATATATAGGTTTGTACAATACTTCACTGTGTCTTCAGCTGTTACAAAGTTAGACAGGACAATCCCTATATATATATAGGTTTGTACAATACTTCACTGTGTCTTCAGCTGTTACAAAGTTAGACAGGACAATCCCTATATATATAGGTTTGTACAATACTTCACTGTGTCTTCAGCTGTTACAAAGTTAGACAGGACAATCCCTATATATATATAGGTTTGTACAATACTTCACTGTGTCTTCAGCTGTTACAAAGTTAGACAGGACAATCCCTATATATATAGGTTTGTACAATACTTCACTGTGTCTTCAGCTGTTACAAAGTTAGACAGGACAATCCCTATATATATATAGGTTTGTACAATACTTCACTGTGTCTTCAGCTGTTACAAAGTTAGACAGGACAATCCCTATATATATAGGTTTGTACAATACTTCACTGTGTCTTCAGCTGTTACAAAGTTAGACAGGACAATCCCTATATATATATAGGTTTGTACAATACTTCACTGTGTCTTCAGCTGTTACAAAGTTAGACAGGACAATCCCTATATATATAGGTTTGTACAATACTTCACTGTGTCTTCAGCTGTTACAAAGTTAGACAGGACAATCCCTATATATATATAGGTTTGTACAATACTTCACTGTGTCTTCAGCTGTTACAAAGTTAGACAGGACAATCCCTATATATATAGGTTTGTACAATACTTCACTGTGTCTTCAGCTGTTACAAAGTTAGACAGGACAATCCCTATATATATATAGGTTTGTACAATACTTCACTGTGTCTTCAGCTGTTACAAAGTTAGACAGGACAATCCCTATATATATAGGTTTGTACAATACTTCACTGTGTCTTCAGCTGTTACAAAGTTAGACAGGACAATCCCTATATATATATAGGTTTGTACAATACTTCACTGTGTCTTCAGCTGTTACAAAGTTAGACAGGACAATCCCTATATATATAGGTTTGTACAATACTTCACTGTGTCTTCAGCTGTTACAAAGTTAGACAGGACAATCCCTATATATATATAGGTTTGTACAATACTTCACTGTGTCTTCAGCTGTTACAAAGTTAGACAGGACAATCCCTATATATATAGGTTTGTACAATACTTCACTGTGTCTTCAGCTGTTACAAAGTTAGACAGGACAATCCCTATATATATATAGGTTTGTACAATACTTCACTGTGTCTTCAGCTGTTACAAAGTTAGACAGGACAATCCCTATATATATAGGTTTGTACAATACTTCACTGTGTCTTCAGCTGTTACAAAGTTAGACAGGACAATCCCTATATATATATAGGTTTGTACAATACTTCACTGTGTCTTCAGCTGTTACAAAGTTAGACAGGACAATCCCTATATATATAGGTTTGTACAATACTTCACTGTGTCTTCAGCTGTTACAAAGTTAGACAGGACAATCCCTATATATATATAGGTTTGTACAATACTTCACTGTGTCTTCAGCTGTTACAAAGTTAGACAGGACAATCCCTATATATATAGGTTTGTACAATACTTCACTGTGTCTTCAGCTGTTACAAAGTTAGACAGGACAATCCCTATATATATATAGGTTTGTACAATACTTCACTGTGTCTTCAGCTGTTACAAAGTTAGACAGGACAATCCCTATATATATATAGGTTCTGTAGGATTCTTCACCTTGCCTCCACACCTCATACGTTAACTTACCTCCACTTCTCCGATGCCGAAACACATCTTCTTAATGTTTGCCTCCGTGGTGGACACTGAAAGGTTGTCTATAGACACAACCTTGGACAAGGGAGGCGACTCTCCTACCACTACTCTCTATCAACAGAAAGGCAAAGTTAAGAAAATGTTTTAAAATAATTACCTTCAATTAATAATTTTACTATGACACTACAGTGAAAGTGTATAACCTAATCTCTGAGTTATCTGATATCTTGTCTAATTTTGATACATCATGTCAGACTAGACAGGCTTCACTTATTTGAGTGTAAAGATGATGGTCTGCTATATTCAAATTAGTTAAAAGACAAGAGGCCTATAGGGCTTATATTGCTCACCTGGATATTTGAGCAATCATGGGAAAATATTCTCAATAAAAGTAATTTTGAAAATATTTCCATATATTGAGGCTCCTTGCCTTTAGACTGTTCCAGACTAAATGCAACTGTACACTACTCTACCCCAGCATGCTACTTGTCAAATAAAAACACCCAGGGCCTCGTGGTAATGCAGAAGAAGTTGTTTAAAGGTTTTTACATATTTTACCCCATTTGACCTTGGAAGTAGGTCAAGGTCAATCATTTTGGGAAACTTTATAGCACTCCATGCCAGGTACCTACTGGCCAACTAACATCACCCTGGGCCTCCTGGTTAATCAGAAATTTTTTTTTTAAGGGTTTTTATATATTTGATGCAAGTGACCTTTGAAGTAGGTCCAGGCCATTTATTTTGGGAAATCTTATAGAATTCCATCCTAGGTACCTACTGGCCAAGTATCATTACCTTATGTGTCTTTGTTATTTAGAAGAAGTTGCTCTAAGTTTTAACATATTTGACCCATGTGACCTTGAAAGTCAAGGTTATATATTTGAGGAAAATGTATAGCACTCTGTCCCAGGTACATACTGGCCAAATATCATTGTTCCAGGCCTCTTCGTTATTCAGAAGAAGTTGTTTAAAACGTTTTTAACACATCTGACCTTTGTCATTGTGAAAGAAGGTCAAGGTAATATGTCTTAAAAAAAATAATCATAGCACTCCATTTCAGGTACCTACTGGCCAAGAATCCTCCCTCTTGGCCTCCTGCTTATTCAGAGGAAGTTGTTTAAAGATTGTTATATAATGACCCCTGTGACCTTGAAAGTGGGTAAAGGTCATTATCATTAATTAGAATTATAGTACTCCATCCCAGGTACCTTCTGGTCAAATATTGTTGCTCTAGGACTCTTTGTTATTCAGAAGATGTTTAAACGATTTAAACACGTTTGACCCTTGTGATCTTGAAAGTAGGTCAAGGTTTATTCTGGAAAGTTTATAGTACTTCATGTCGCGTACCTTCTGGCCAAGTATTATTACTCTGGGCCTCCTTGAAGGAGTTGTTTAAAGGTTTTTCCATGTTTGACCCCTGTGACCATAACAGTACGGCAAGGTCATTTATATGAATAAACCTTATAGCACTCTTTCCCAGGTACCTACTCGCCAAATATCCTGGCCCTAGGTCCTTCAGTTCTTAAGAAAAAAAATTTCAAAAAAAGGTTGACTGATGATGGACAACACACGATACTATAAGCTCAACTGGCACTTTGAGCAAGTGGAGCTAAAACATGTTTCACTCCTTTGGATACTTAATTTTGTTTACTTAAAAATAAAACTTACTAACGTTATAATACAGTCCAACTTGTATAATCAGACATAACCCATTGGTGTCACTCTTTTTTAACTTAAGAAAATTCCTTCATGTAAGAATAGAATGACATTATGGAATATGGTTTCTTAAGAAAACCTTTAAAATGTAACGTTTTTGAAACCTGGGTGAAATCTAGGTGAAAGTCTCACCCTGCCTTCCTGATTCTGAACAACCTTCCTCTGACCAGGTCCAGCAGGCTTGCTGATCACCGTCCTCTGACTGTTACTGCCAGATAAGGTCACCTGACGGTCATCTTGGCCTCCAGTTTTGTTTATATTCTTCAACATTACTGTTCTAGAAATCACTTTTCCATGGCTGTCCTTATTCAGAATGGTAACCCTCTGTTTCAACACCAAATTCCCATCCTTTCCCGTGTTAGCATTTTGGTTAGTATTTCCCTGAGTTGTATTCTGACTAGGCATATTCACTTGTCTGTTCTGATTTCCTTGTTGTGAGTTTTGACGCTGTACATTTGTATTTGGTCTGTTAATATTCCCAGGACCAGGAGGCCTGGTATCCGGACGTGGTCCTCCCCTCGGGCCGCTTGGTCGGTTAGCTGGGAATTGTTGCTTTGGACCACCCTGCCCTGGCCCACCTAACTGTTGGGGTTGCCTAGGGCCAAATCGTGGCTGTCCAGTATTAGGGGTCCGAGGCTGAAAATGCTGACCCTGGTTGTGTCCTTGACCCTGCTGGCCAGCACTGTTCTGCCAGATGGCTTTGCCTGGCATGTTGGTCTTTGCTGAAGGTATGGGGGCAACACCTTTTTCTACATCTGCTATGGTCTTCCCTGTGATGGATTTATTTTAAGGAAAAAATAAAATCAACATTAAAATCATCATATAACATTCACAGAAAAACAAAGATGATTTTAAACTAGATGTTAGTTAATTCACAAAGATATCCCTCCTACCCACTTCATTTTATCTATGTATTCAAACTTTGTTTGCAGGAAGTTTGCAGTGGGTATAATACCCCAACCACAAATTCCTTCTTTCATGCACATCTACATAGGATGTTCTTTCCCTGTGCCAAGATACCAAACGAGAGGCCCAGGGGCCTTAACAGCTCACCTGCTATGTTTTTTTTATACACAACAAACAAACTTGATGTGTGGATGCTTATTTTACATAATAGTATGGTTTTGTAGCATTTATGATAGAATTTGTAATACTGTTGCATTTATAAATTAATATATGATCTCAAAATGTAAGTACTTTAGCATAACCATTCTAACAATAAATATGCATTAATAAAATCAGATTTTTTTATTCAACCATTTTTCTAGGATAGTTTACCAAATGTCTCATTACACAGTGTAATTACTTTTTTCCCTTCAACAAACTCTTATTATTAGGACCTAAGGATCCTCCAGGTCAAATTAGGTTTAACTCAGTTTTACTTTATCCATAATCAAGAAATAGGATTTACCTATATTCCCCAATTAAGCAAAACATGCGTCTCCTTGGTTCAAGGATGTTGCAGACAAAAGGAGGTTCGAATCCATTTAACCCTAACCCTAACCCAAGGATCTTATATATAACATACATTTCCCAATTAGGCCCCACACCTCTACCCCTACAGGGCATTGACACCCTTTCTTTATACAAAGTGATTCCTTACTCTTACTCAAAGAATAAGATTTTCCTATACTTCCCATAGTTGACCTCACCCCTGTGCCCTTTGGATAGCCACATACTCCATTTAACAGACCCGAAATCCTTTTGGCCTGGGGATGCTCCAGACTATTTGAGGTTAAAATCCAGTTTACCATATTCAAGAAGTAGGATTTCAAAAATTTACCTACGTTTCCCTTAATGGGCCTCATCCATCTGTTCACTTCACTTATACAAAGTTGAATCCCATTGACCCGATGATACTAAAGACCAATTTAGAATAAAATCCCTTTACCGATACTCAAGAAATAGAATTTTGAAGATTTACCTTATATTTCCCCATTTCCGATATTGTGCTCCACCTCTGATCCCCCAGAGGGGCCACACCCTTCATTTATATAAAACTTAGTCCCCTTGGCCTAAGGAGGCTCCAGACCAGTTAAGATTAAAATTTCTTTATTAATACTGAAGAAGTAGGATTTACCTAAATTCCCATATTGGGCCCCGCCCTTCTACCTCCTGAGGAGCCACACCTTTCATTTATACAAAATTGATTCCCCTTATCCTCACAATGCCCCACATCAGACTTGGACAAAATCCATTCAGACATTCTGGACTTTTATGTGAAAAGTTGACAGACAGACAATGGACGACGCACCACAGAATATTCCAACAAACATTTAGGGAGGAGTTTTGCTTACAAAGATCTTGAAGCAGAAGTTTAAAGTTTGATACCCCCAAGATAGTCAATTGATCAATACCTGTCTTCATGCACATCCACATTGATATACTTTCACTGTGCCAAATTACGAAAAAAAAAAAAAGTTTAGGAGGAGTCATGCTTACAAGATTCATGAACAGACAGACAGATGAACAAGCGATTCCTATATACATTCCCAAACTTTGTTCGCAAAGGGGCATAATAAAAAAGAATAATGAAATAGAAATTAGTAGAAAAGCAATAATTTCATCAATTATGATCACCTGTTTATAACAACCATTTATCAATAACAACAACCTTCATATAAAGAACAATGTTATGTTTTACATAACACCCTATCCAGTCAACAATTACCTGTCTGTAAAAATCAGCCATCAATTATGATCACCTGTTTATAACAACCATCCATCAATAACGACAACCTTCATATAAAGAACAATGTTAAGCTTTACATAACACCCTATCCAGTCAACAATTACCTGTCTATAAAACTCAGCAATCAATAATGATCACCTGTTTACAACACACATTTATCAAGAACAACAACCTACATATAAAGAACAATGTTAAGCTTTACATAACACCCTATCCAGTCAACAATTACCTGTCTATAAAAATCAGCCATCAATTATGATCACCTGTTTATAACAACCATTTATCAATAACAACAACCTTCAAATAAAGAACAATGTTATGTTTTACATAACACCCTATCCTGTCAACAATTACCTGTCTGTAAAAATCAGTCATCAAATATGATCACCTGTTTATAACAACCATTTATCATTAACAACAACCTTCATATAAAGAACAATGTTATGTTTTACATACCACCCTATCCAGTCAACAATTACCTGTCTATATAAATCAGCCATCAATTATGATCACCTGTTTATAACAAACATTTATCAATAACAACAACCTTCATATAAAGAACAATGTTAAGCTTTACGTAACACCCTATCCAGTCAACAATTACCTGTCAATAAAAATCAGCCATCAATTATGATCACCTGTTTATAACAAAAATCCATCAATAAC